GTTGAGCCTCGGGGTCAGGGAGAGTGGAATTTGATTCCTGGTTCTGCCACTTACTGGCCGTCTGACCTTGAATTAATATTTAACTCTCCACGATGCCTTTCCTCATGTCTAGAATGGGGACGATAATTGTACCTTCCTCAGGGCGTCGTGGAGTCTTCCAGGTGGGAGGTCAGGGCTGAGTGGGAAAGGCAAAGGTAAGTGCTCAGGAAGTGTTTGGTTTTGTTACTATTATTTATCAGTCAGGGTACTCGGGTGCCCCACACGGTGGCAATTTTTTTTTTTAAGATTTTATTTATTTATTTGAGAAGGAGGGAGAGAGAAAGAGAGCACAAGCAGGGGGGCGGCAGGCAGAGGCAGAGGGAGAAGCAGACTCCCCGCTGAGCAGGGAGCCCGATGTGGGGCTCAATCCCAGGACTCCGAGATCATTACCTGAGCCGAAGGCAGACGCTTAACCAACTGAGCCACCCGGGCGCCCCGCATGGTATCACTTCTGACTTGATTTGCTGTAGCAGATTGCTAACAGTTGGCTATGTGAGTGTCTTTTTGACTGTCAGGAGTCAGTGTTACTGTCCATGTTGTCACTTGGGACAAAGGCTGGTGGTTCAGGGAACTCATGAGTGAGAGAGAGATCGGTCAGTTGATTGGGGCTAGTGCCTAAAGTGCATCCAGAGAGCATCTCAGACGTTGGGAATTCCTTGCTTCTCCTTTGGGCTTGCAGCTTGTGAGTTGGGCCCCCAGTGATGTTCAGATGTTAAGTGAAATAGCGTAAAATGAACCCCTTTTGGTATACAGTTCTGTGAGTTTTGACAGAAGCATGTACAACCACCACTATATTCAAGACCCAGGACATTTTATCAACCCCAAACATTTCCTCCCCTTACCCCCAGCTTCGGGCAACTACGGCCCCCTCTGTCTCCATCACTTCATCTAGGTTCTGAAAAGCCCCCTTGCCAGAAGTCTTGAAATTTGCTAGGAAGCATTCACTGTCACACGCGGTGTTTCCAAGTGGTCGTGATCTCCTGCGGGACTCTGGCTGTGGTCGGTGGGCCTCGGTCTGTCCACTCGTCGGTTTGTTTAGCAGAGCTTCATGGAGCTGCCCGCGGGCGTAAGCCATGAGCCTGTGCTGGGAGTTGGTACAGGAGGTTCTAATCCCAGTTCTCAACTCTCTCAGGAGCCACCACTTGGTTGGGACAGGAGGCACACAAATAAAAAGTTAAAGGGAGATATATAGAATTAACTTGCGATATGAGGCAGAAAGTCAGGAAGTGGGACAAGGTTGTGTCACGTTGTAGTTTCGGCCGAGCAGTGGGGACAGTGAGGGGGAGACGCTCTGGAAGGAGAGGACCGTCTGTTCTGGGGTGGCCAGGAGAAGGCTCAGAAAGACAGAGGCATTCTGAATACTGCCTCTTGCTCACCCTCCCCTTCCAACCCATGTGTTACTGCCTCAATGAAGCCTTTGATTCCTCGGACTGGAAAAAAATACTCCACTTTCTCAACTCTTTTCATGTGGCCTCTCCCCGGCCCCCTTCCCTTCTTTTTCTTTTCACAACTGTCCCAAACTTAACCTCTAGAGCATCCTGTGCTGGCCCGGAGCCCTCCCAGAGTTCTCACAAACCAGGCCCTTGACTGGATTGATCGTGCTCTGCCCCTCCTCGTACTTGACAACAACGTCTCTTACAAAGTAGGTGCTCAGTAAATCTTCCGTGCGTTGAATGACTGACTGAGCTGGGCGTTGTGGGGGAAAAGCAGCGAGGGGGAGAATTCCTGGTCAGAGCAAGGGGCTGTTGGGACAGGAAGACATTTGAGCTGCTGCCATCGTGTGTGCTCGCAGCTCGCTTGCTGTCTACTTGGAACGACAGGGCAAGAGAGAATTGAACTTTGGAGAACTGGAAGTTAGAGTGGCTTTGATTTTTTTTTTTTTTTTATTTGAGAGAGAGAGAATGAGAGACAGAGAGCATGAGAGGGAGGAGGGTCAGAGGGAGAAGCAGACTCCCTGCCGAGCAGGGAGCCCGATGCGGGACTCGATCCCGGGACTCCAGGATCATGACCTGAGCCGAAGGCAGTCGCTTAACCAACTGAGCCACCCAGGCACCCCAGAGTGGCTTTGATTTAAATCGAATTTATAGAAGACCTTAACTGCCTTAGTGGGCAGGCTATCGCTTACAGCCAGCCCCTCCTCAGACACATGCATGTGCACATGCGCGCGTGCCCCATTTGGTTTCTACCTGCCACCGGCTTTTAGGATTTGGGAAATCTTGTTTTCCTGCCATTTTATCTTCCGTGGGAGAAGAGGCAGAAGAGACTTGAGAGAGGTCAGTGTCGGCGCTCAGTCTGTGTCTGGTGAAAGGCATAATTGATGCTCTTCATGCTCAAATAGGTAGTCCAAAGGACAAAATAAGAATTTGGGAGTCTGCCTGCCATATATAGCCTGCCTTCCTCTTCTTTAATTTTATCCCCTCCAGGAGAAGCTAAACAACATTCCGTTTCCCTTCCTCTCTGAATGCCATGGCTTTCTGGATGGTTATCACATCCCCACATCTCCTTCCCCCAGCCTCTTGGGTGCCTTCCCTCTCTTCATTCCAGAACTCGAGAATTCTCACTCCCCTCTCAAGCCTTCTCTGAACAGAATCAGGTCATGTTTTCTCTACCTCATGCTTGTCATTTCATCTCTCTCCAGAAAGTAATTAAAACAGGAACTCATTTATAAACAAAAATACTGGAGCAATTAAAATGCCGAGCTGTTAAGACAAGAACTTGCCCATCATGGTGGCAAACTTCTCAAGAAGATTGAACGCAATGGCCATTTTGCCTAAACTGATGGTCGAGAAAATGTGAGGGACGGGGAGCCCTGCACAGAACCTGAGCTGTGTGACTTTGGGGAAATTAATCTACCTCTCTGTGCCTGAGCTTCTTAATTGATAAAAGGATTAGGACGGCTTGCCTGTCATTCTCCTGGGTGGAAATGTTAAACTAACATACACAGGCATGAGTAAAACGTTGATTATGGTGGCAAAATATTTTGAGGCCCTTGGGAAAACATTGCTATTCCTTTGTTGTTTCCATTTCTTTATCGATGCCGGTTTTCAGGGATATTTCAGTCAATTGCCAACAGAAGTCTAAGGCCAGTTCTGTTTAAAAGTGGGGGAGGGCATTAGGAGCATTCAGATTAAAACCACAATGAGATACCAGTACACGCCTTTCTGAGTGGCTGAAGTAGGAAAAGAGCGACAACACCAAAAGCTGGTGAGAATGTGCCTGAATTAGGTTGTCCATACATTGCTGGGAATGTGGAACTGTATAGCCATGCCAAGCGGTGGTTCGGCAGTTTCTTGTAAAATGGAACATGAAGTTACCATGTGATCCAGTGATTGCACTCTTGGGCGTTTATCCCAGGGAAATGGAAACTTACATTCATATAAAACCTGTACCCAACTGTTCTTGGCAGCCTTGTTTGTAATAGCCAAAGAACGGAAACAACCCAGAAGTCCTTCAGTGGATGAATAGTGAGACAGACTGTGGTATACCCACACCAGGGAGTATTACTCAGCAGTGGAATGGAACCAGCCATGGATATATATACTACACAGCAGCGTGGCCAAATCTCCAGGGAATTATGCTGAGTGAAAAAAGTTCCTCTCACAAGGTTACTGTGTGAGCTCGTTCGTGAAATATCCTTGAAAGGACAAAAATTACGGAACCGGGGAACAGATGAGTGGATGTCAGGGGTTAGAAATGGTGGGGAGGAGAGGCTAACGGGAGGTGGGTATAGGAGATGCTTGTAATGATGGACCTGTTTTGTATTTTTTTTTTTTAAAGATTTTATTTATTTATTTGACAGAGAGAGACACAGCGAGAGAGGGAACACAAGCAGGGGGAGTGGGAGAGGGAGAAGCAGGCCTCCCGCGGAGCAGGGAGCCCGACGCGGGGCTTGATCCCAGGACTCTGGGACCATGACCTGAGCCGAAGGCAGCTGCTCAACAACTGAGCCACCCAGGCGCCCCCTGTTTTGTATTTTGACTATGCTGGTGAACACATGAGATGACATGTGGTGAACACATGAGATGAACACACGAGATGACATACAGTTGCATAAAAACTAATGGCAGACACATATACACGCACACAGAGGAGTACGAGTGAGACTGGGAAAATCAACAAGAAGTGTAGATTGTTATCAGTGTCAGTATCCTGATAGCGTGCTGGAGTTTTCCAAGATGTTTCCATTGGGGGAAACTGGGTAAAGGGCACCCGGGATCTGTGTCTATTATTTCTTCCAACTGTATGTGAATCTACAATGAACTCGAACTAAAAAGTTTAATTAACAAAAAGTTGAGGCAGGATTCAGAACCAGGGTAGTGGGAATTCATCTTCTCGGTGTCCTGGGGAGCTGGTGTGGCAAATCTGTGCGAGGCTTGGGAAAGCATTCTGTCCCGTTGTTCTGATATTTCCTCCCGTGGTCACATTGCCTGGAGGGTAGGAAAGGGCTGGGAGCATGCACAGAGCCCCCAGAGCTGGAAATGATACAATGGAGTGGATTTTGGTGGTCCTTTCTCCTTAGTAAGATTTGATTATGTCTCTCTGGACCCAGGACCTGGAAAACAGCACGGCAGCTTCCTTCAGCTCAAGAGCAGAGGACAGATATGGGTCAAGTTCAAAGCACTGTCTGTGTGGCCCTGGGGCTAGCTCTGGATGCAGCCTCTGGTCCTGCAGGCTTGGCTATGAGTAGATTGAGTTTGGGACATTGCCACATGTAAGCACCATTGGCCAGCAAGCTGGAAATAGCCTCGGGGGGCTAGGTTCCTGGCAAAGCTGCTTCTCTGGAGACATTAACCCAAAGCTAAGGCCGTTCTTCAGTTTCACGGCCGATGACATGTGGTGACTGAGAATCTGATTCCTGACTCTTCAACTCTTTTGGGAAATGTTGTCTTTCTTGAGAGTGCATGCTAGAACGGTGAGTCAGGCATTGGTGCATGATGGCTGTCTTGTCTTTGAAGTTGTAGGACAGTCCCATCTGGACAGCAACATCGAGGATCAAGAGATTGTCACTAACCCTCCGGACATCTGCCAAGTTGTAGAGGTGACCACTGAGAGTGACGAACAGCCGGTCAGCATGAGTGAGCTCTACCCTCTGCAGATTTCCCCCGTGTCTTCCTATGCAGGTAAGAGGGTAGGTGGGAACCTTTGGAGCTGAGCAAGGATGGCGGGGGGCAGTCCCTCAGTGTGGGGCCACCTGCTTCACTGCACAGCAAAGAGCCTCTCCTCTGTCCTAGGAATTATTCTTGCTTTATTTTCCCCATGGACATCTTCTTGGGTACTTGTGTTCTCAGAAGACATGGCCACAGCATTTCTTGACTTGATCACCCATAACGTTTTCGTGCATGACTAACAATATTCCTTTGGAGAAGTAGTTCATCGAAGTCTGTTTTCGTGCATGACTAACAATATTTCTTTGGAGAAGTAGTTCATCGAAGTCTATTTTATTTTCATAAGTTATCAGAAATCCGGAAGGGTGTTTTCAATGGAATCTGAGTTTGACCAAGCTGGATGGAACCTCGAAGACCATTCCTTCCAGCTCCTTCGGAATTTTTGGAAGTGAAGGCACATGTCCTAGGTCACATGGCTAGTGAGTGTTTGGGTCAGGACTTCAACTCAGCCTTGAGACCCGGAGCCTCATTCCAACCCACCATGTTTACTTGTTTCCACTTATTTTCCCCGTCTCTTTCAATTCAGTGCAGCTTCTCATCAGGCCAGGTGCCTGAGCCCGGATATGATTCCCTAGGGAAGGACCACGTAACGACCCAGGAATTGACCCAGACAGTCCTAGGATTAGAACAGATTCGCGTGGTTCTTCCATCTTTACAGCACAAAGTGGGGACTCCCTTGTCTACCATCATTTTATCGTCTTACGCTCTCCCATGATCTCTGCTTAATTTTCAGGGGACTCATTTATAATTAGAAATATAAATTCTGAGTCAATGTTATTGCTTGCAGACATTAAAAATAGAAAGCAGAGGCCCTATCCCGAGGAGCTACCGTCAGCTCCAATACCCGTTCAGGAATCTTCCTAGTGTCCTTGATGTTCCCCCAGTGTCCCCCAGTTCGGGGGCCGCCCCAGTGGCTGGCACGCAGTCAGAATTAGAGTTAGGTTGGTTCAAAGGACAGGTTCTTTGTGAATTGTCAGCCACTGACCTAACCTTCTATTTTCTGGACACCAGCTTTCTATATTTTTAGCTTACGTTTTCAAATTGCGGTGAAATGGACGTAGCCCAGAATTGGCCATTTTTGCTATTTTTAAGTGCCCATTTTGGCGGCAGTGAGTGCATTCGCCTTGTTAGGCAACCGTCACCACCATCCAGCTCCAGAACTTTCTCATCTTGCAAAACTAAAACTCTGTCCTCGAGAAACACCAATTCCCCTCCCCCTCCTACCCCCAGCCCCTGGCAACCGCCCCGCTCTTTCTACCTCCGTGAATTTGGCTGCTCTAGGTAACTCACGGGAGTGGAATCGTACCGTGCTTGTCCTTTTGTGATGGGCTGATTTCACCTAAGGTCCTCGAGATCCTGACTTTCTTCTATGCCAGGAACATAGAAGGAACGTGAGAGTGAACCTTGACTACAAGAAGCTTGTAATCAGTCAAAGAGGCTAAGCTGCTCATGGGTTGTTTTGTCATCACGTTTTGAGCCCCTACCTGTGCGAGATCCTTGGTGGTCTTTGCCAGGCCCCAGTGATAATAATTACTATTTGCTGCATGTTTGTGGTGCCCTGGGAACTGTGCTCCATGCTTGGAAGCAGCTGACTTGCTTCATCGTCAGGAGAATCACCCTGTCAGCCTGGGTATCATTGTTATTCCCTCTTTAAAAATTAGGAACCCAAGGGGCGCCTGGGTGGCTCAGTCGTTAAGCGTCTGCCTTTGGCTCAGGTCATGATCCCAGGGTCCGGGGATCGAGCCCCGCATTGGGCTCCCTGCTCGGCGGGAAGCCTGCTTCTCCCTCTCCCACTCCCCCTGCTTGTGTTCCCTCTCTCGCTGTGTCTCTCTCTGTCAAATAAATAAATAAAATCTTTAAAAAAAAAAAAAAATTAGGAACCTAAGGCCAGTGTGGGTAAGGCAGTGTGTCCGGGGAAGAACAGTGGTTCCACCTTCGTGTCGCTGGTTCCAGCAGCCTGGGCTCAACCCTTCCCCAGTAACGCTGCCCTGGACACGTGCACAGGGCTCTGGGGTGCAGAACGCACCCACATCCCTGACCTCCAGGACCCACCAAAGGAGGCAGAACAGCGTGTTTCTGCCTTAATTTTACAGTTGAGATAACACCAGGCTACTTTGCATATATTTACACAGCTATGGCTGAAAACGTGTGACTTTCTTCTACATCGTGCTGCTGCATGTAGCTGTTTTAATTTTTTTAAGGCTTGGAGCCTCAGCATAAACTTCTCTGTTTATCTCTCGAAGCCTTCCTGAAGCCTTCCTGAGGCTTCCACAAAGATGTCCTCGCTGTTCTGCCCTCGAGGCATCTTGCCTCGGCAGAAGAACCCCAAGAACAGCTGATCCATGCAGAGAGAGACGAAAATTTCATTACCCTTTTCAGGACATTTGCATAGACTTGCAAAGAAGGATCGCAGTGCCAGGCTGACGGGCAGGAGGACTGTGGTTGGAGGCTGGCTCTTCAGTCTGGCCTTTGGTTCTCTCCCTTGTGTCATTGTCTGAATTCTCCAGAACCGTTTGGAGGGAGGCTCATCGGCTGGAGCCAAGATGTTTCATCACTGCCAATTTTCCAGAGCTTACAGACCCGAAATTTACCTGTTAGGGACTGTGGCTGGTTGAGGTCTTTCAGTCAAGGAATTTTATAGAGTTCTGCTGGGAAAGGCAGCTTTTGAGTTCATTCACCCTTCTTACTTTATGTTCCCCAATAGGATAAGCTGCTTGTCTGGTTTCGTTTTTTGTTTTTTGTGTTTTTTTTGTGATCAGGTTCCTTTGTTTGGGCTGAAATTCAATTGAATTTCAACTTCCTCTCACCATTTCATTCACTTGCTTAGGAAACTGGTATTTGGAGGTTGTTGTTTGTGATTTTTTTTTTTTTTTTTACCCTTACTGATCATTGAAGTATAACCAGTCCGTTTTGCAAGTCCATCTTCTCTGTGGTCTAAATCATTTTGTGATGAGCAAGAAAAGAGGGGGTTTCCTTGAGTGGATGTACTTGCATGGGATGTTTTAAGACCATATAAATTTCTTGTTGGATTCTTAGAACTTTAATCATGCAGAGAGATATCCCAGAGCCGAACCTTGGGAAACTGCGGAGGACAGGCATTTTATATTTAAAGGTCTGCTGTATGGTGGCCTCTTGCCTGATGTATGTATGGCACCAAGATTTTACTAGGTTATTGAGGATTTAGTAAAAGAAAGCCATGGTAGGATTTTGTGGAGGACTGGACGAGAGGATGGAGAAGAGTGTAATAGAAAGGATTAATTGGTTATAACTGAGAGAATGGAGATTGTCAGCATCTGACCAGCAACTGGCAATAAAGACTTTGGGTCCTCCTGGAAGCCATAGCAGGCTTGCATTTTGTTGGGTGGGGCAAAGGCAACAGTGCTTTGAAATGAAGAAGACTCTGATTTGAACCTTTTGATTGAGCTTTCTAGTGAGTTGAGGAAAGGATCGAGAGAAAGAAATCTTTGTCAATCTTATTAGTAAAACTGGTTGAACAAGAGTCTTCCAGAAAACGTACCAGGATGTCAGAATGCAAAAAAAAAAAAAAAAAAAAAAAAAGACTTTCACATTAAGCCTCCTGTCTCCCTCCCCAGAATGTTCCCGAGGTGGTTGGACAATAAAAACTGGGCTGAAGTGGCATGTGAAGCTAAGACTAGTGTCTCCTCTGGAAGAAGAATCTTTGAGATCAGCCCGTCCCAGGGTTGATCCCCATTCCTCCCACCAGTCACTTTCAGGGAAACTGGGACCACAGTGTTGAAATGAGCTACTCATGTACCTGTAATGCCCTGCAAATACTTTCCACTTAGTCACGCCCCGCTAGTGAAGCAACTCCGATTTTTTTTTTATTCCATTGTATTCACCACCAATAAAAAAACAAACCTAAATTCTTCAAAAGGGAAAATGAAAGAAGAGTGCAGGCTGATACTCGGCAGTGGCCTTGATCTGAATGCAGCAGCTGCCATGAACTCATTTGTGATAATAGGAAGGGATCTTGAGAATGGCAACAGTGAAGGAAAACCAAGGAAACAGAGGAAGATGGGCCTGTGTGCACCCAACAAACCAGTGGTATCGGGGTAGCTGAGAGAGCCAAGCTTACTCCGGAGAGAAGAGTCTCGGGTCCTCCGGCTGGAGCTTGAGGCATCTCGTGCTCCTAGGTGAAAGGCACTCAAGGCCATTCTTTTAAGCAATAAAAACTAGAAATTTGCTTGCTTGCTCATCAGCTTGTTAATACGGAGATCCTTCAGAGTGACTCCAGAAGCAGGTGATCTTAATTTAGAAGCCACTCTCTTGACGAACATTTGCGTTAGCTGAAAATGTCAGTTCAGAACATGTATGTCTTCTCTTGTCTCAGACTGGTTCCCTGAAGCTTTGAAAACTGGGTCCTCAGGACGCCTGGGTGGCTCAGCCGTTAAGCGTTTGCCTTCGGCTCAGGTCATGATCCCGGGGTCCTGGGATCGAGCCCCGCATCGAGCTCCCTGCTCCGCGGGAAGCCTGCTTCTCCCTCTCCCACTCCCCCTGCTTGTGTTCCCTCTCTTGCTGTGTCTCTCTCTGTCAAATAAATAAATAAAATCCTTAAAACAAAACAAAACAAAACAAAACAAAAACTGGGTCCTCGAGGGCAGTGAATATTCTGGTCACGTTCACGGTTTCTGCGAGGTCTTACCAAGGAGTCTGCCCAGGGTCTGCCTTCCACCCCCTCCCACAGCTGGGGTTGGGGCAGGATCCCAGAACCTTGGTGTTAACTGCTCATTTCCATGGATTTCCAGCTGCCCCCCCCCCCCCCGCCCTGCCCCACATGCCTCTGGTGTGTATTTGTTTCTGTTTGAAGAGGAAAAGGAACAGAAGATGATGGTATTGATGGAAGGTAATTAGGAGCAAAGAGGGTCTAGACGCGTATGAGAAGAAGAGGAACCCTGGCTTCAGAGCCCAGAGAGAAAGCTAAGCATAAAAATGGAAAGGGGATCTTGAAATTTCAGCCCGAGCTGCAGGAGCTCTCCCTGCGGGGAAGCAGCGCCCGGAGCCCGGAGTCAGATGTACAGTTGTGTTTTCTCTCCTCTGTGCTGACTCAGGCCACAGCTTTGGCAGGTTTCTCAACATCTCTGTTCCTCATTCTTCTTGGGAGGGGCCATACCGATCCCTGCCTCCCTGGGATACCGCGCCAGCGCGAGGGTTCTGCGAGCAGGCTTTTTAACTTGTTTTGCTCGTGGCGGCTGTGGCCCATGGGCCTCCTGAGCTAGGGTCGTCGTCAGCCCAGGCGAAGCCTTCTTCGGATGGCCGTTGCTCACTGCTGGGGATGCTGTGGGGAAGTCTGCTGGGTCTGAGGAGAGGAGAGGCCAGGCTCGTGCTCTGGTTGCTCCCGGGCAGCCCCCCCGGGGAGGGGAGGGGAGACGTCCCTGGAGAAAGTCTCCAGGGCGGGCCCAGGGTGGTCAGCATTCTCGCTTTCGTCGTTGGAGGGATGAACCTGTGGCTCAGTTTATCCATTTGTTCTTTAACCTTTAAGTCATAGAGATTCTGCTCTGGGGGCTCCGGCTCCGCATGGTCGAAAGGGCTCCGTCTGGGCTGGAGGCCTCGGGTCCCAGCTGTGCCACCAGCCAGATGTGAGCCTGGAGGTCAGCCACTCCGTAGGTTTGGGGCGGAAAGAGGTAGAAGGTGCCAGAGCACCTGAGCTCTTCTGCATAAAGGGGGCGATGGGAGCTCCTTCCCACTGAAGATTTCTGTGGGGGCTAAACAAGGCCTGCGTGCCCAGGTGCCGGCTCTCTATAAACGTTCCCCATGATGCTCTCTCTAGGCCTTGTCTGTAGAGGAAGGACCCGGACTCAGGGATCTCTAAGGCTCAGTGTATTTCTCTACCCTCTGTGCTTTCATTTCTCAATGCTATAGACACTGAAGAGCTGCACACCATCAATTTTTTATTTAAAAAAGATGAAAAATATTTCACTTAAAAAAATCTTGTATTATACGTACAGGTGATGTGTGATCGCTAGCTATTGACTTAGACTCTGTTAATCTAGCCTGTTGTGCAAATCCACGGTTGAGCAAGGCCGATGAGCTCAGGACAAAGGTGTGCTACCATTTATTGAGTGTATGCTGTGGGCCAGGCCCTGTGCTAGTCCTTTTCCCACACATCCTCTCACTGATTCATCACTTAATCCTCTTGGGAAGATGTCAATACTCCCGTCTTACAGATGAGGAAACTACACTCTGTGAAGTTAGGGAACCTGCTCTGTGTCTCGAAGCTGGCAGACTGAGTCAGGATGGTAAGCGAATTAGTTGTCTATTGCTGCGTCACAACATAACCACAAACCTTAGTAGTTTAAGACAACACACATTTGTTATCCCCTCCTCGCCCAAGTTTCTGAGGGTCAGGAGTGCAGGCATGGCTTAGCTGCGTTCTCTGCTCAGCATATTGCCTTCACAGACCTGTGGTCAAGGTATGGTCCAGGGCTGCTAGCTCGTCTGAGGGCGGGATGTCGGGGAGGAGGTCCATGTCTAAGCTCACAGGATTTGGGGTGGAATGTAGTTGTTTGCGGGTTGTCAGACTGAGAGCCTCAGTTTCTTGCTGGCTGTTGGCCAGAAGCAGCTCTTAGTTTTTTTGTCATGCAAATCTTCCCAACATGGCTCCTTGTTTCCTCAAAGCCAGCAAGGGAGAAAGTCTCCTCACGAGACAGGATTCGATCTTACTTTTTTTTTTAAGATTTTATTTATTTGAGACAGAGAGAATGAGAGACAGAGAGCATGAGAGGGAGGAGGGTCAGAGGGAGAAGCAGACTCCCCGCCGAGCAGGGAGCCCGATGCGGGGCTCGATCCCGGGACTCCAGGATCATGACCTGAGCTGAAGGCAGTCGCTTAACCAACTGAGCCACCCAGGCGCCCCAATCTTTTTTTTTTTTTAAAGATTTTATTTATTTATTTGAGAGAGAGAATGAGAGAGAGAGCACATGAGAGGGGGGAGGGTCAGAGGCAGAAGCAGGCTCCCCGCCGAGCAGGGAGCCCGATGCGGGACTCGATCCCGGGACTCCGGGATCATGACCTGAGCTGAAGGCAGTCGCTTAACCAACTGAGCCACCCAGGCGCCCCAATCTTTTTTTTTTTTTAAAGATTTTATTTATTTATTTGAGAGAGAGAATGAGAGAGAGAGAGCGCATGAGAGGGAGGAGGGTCAGAGGGAGAAGCAGACTCCCCGCCGAGCAGGGAGCCCGATGCGGGGCTCGATCCCGGGACTCCAGGATCATGACCTGAGCCGAAGGCAGTCGCTTAACCGACTGAGCCACCCAGGCGCCCCCGATCTTACTTGACATAGTCATGTACATCCCATCGCTCACGGTGTTCTGTTGCTGCAAATCAAGTCGCAGGTCCCAGCTACATTGCAGAGGAGGGAGGCCCAACCAGCAAGTAAACACCAGGAGATGAGGATCATGGGAGCCACCCTAGAATCTGTCCACCACAGTAACCCGGGTGGAAGATGCAACTTTATAAACCCAAGATATAAGTATGAAAGGGATACGAGGTAAAGGAGGGATCCGAGTAAGTGGGGGTGATCCAGGAAGGCTCTGAGTTGGGCCTGGAATGAACTAATCGACAGGGATTGGAAGAAAGCACGAGTGGGGTGTGTGGATAGAGCAGACTTGAGGAAAGAGGGTGACGTGGGTGCAGGAGTGAGCAGAGGTCCCGGGGAGCAGAGAGCAGATTGGCACCGTGGGGCCAACACCCCAATCCTGGGAGGTGCGGGCCCTGAGAAAACATAGCCTGCCCTTGGAGAGGGAGCTACCCCCCGACTCTTGGATGAAGGGCCAAAATCAGAGAAATAAAATCCACTCTAGCATCTCCCAAGTACAAGTGTTTATTGAGCCTCACAGCGAGGGTGACGATCATGAGTTCGCTGACCCATTTCTCCTTTGAAAAAAAGAAATGCTGATATATTTTTTAAACACTGCCTGAGCCTCACCCCAGTTTGGGCGACAGGAATGATGGCCCTGTGTTTTTCTCTCTGTGAACAGAAAGCGAAACCACCGATAGCGTGCCCAGTGACGAAGAGAGCGTCGAGGTAAGCATGGCGGCCACCACTCGGCTCCCAACAGACGCTGTGGGAGAGCCTTCCCCACCAACACTCCGGGTTCCTTGCTGCTAGTTACGTTTCTCCAAGTCTGATCAGAAGCTCTGCTGGAGGACTTTGTGTGTGTGTGTGTGTCATCCAATATACATAACATGAAAATTTACCGTACTTTTGGATTTTGAAGTATAGATTTAAGCTTTGGGAGCTGAATGGGAGGAAAGAGTAAGGTGTTCCCGTTAGAAAAAGAGGCTCTGACGGCAGGAAATGGCGACTGAGGTGGAGGCCGGAAATTGTGGATATTCTCACCACCGCACACGTCCTAATCCACCAGCAGAAACAGAAGGGCCAAGTGGCCAAAAGCAGTGATGGGAAGTCACCGTCAGAAAGGGCTAAGCCAAAGAATCTCCACGGTTACCTGGAGTCCCCTCCCTCTGTGGTCCGTGCCCAGGGGCTAGGTGTGTGTTCAGTCTGCTCCAGGCTGGGCTCCCACAATGGCAGGAAATGGCTGTAACCTCCGGCTTTGTGTCTGTTTGAGAGAGAAAGAGAGAGCGACTGACTGACTAATGGTTGTTTCAGTCCGTGATTTCCCAGTGTACTAAACACTTCAAGTGGAGTCCAGGAACTCTGAAAAGACAGGAAGTGTAGATGCTCACAGACATTCCAACCCTGTTTCTTCAAGGTCAGAAATTCCATTGCCTTCTTTGAGTGAAGCCACCCTTAAGACCCCCTATTTGCTTGGCACGCTGGAGCGCTAAGCTGTACCCGTTTGAAAGCAGTGGAAAGGCACTCGCCTTCTGGGTTCCTCACTTCCCTTTCTCTGAAAGCACAGATTGACTCAAAAGGCTGGATTGGGCCGTGAGTGAGGAAGCAAGACTCTATGACACACCAGCTGTGATGACCTAAAACCTACCTCATGATCAGGCTGGGGGACCAGAGGAGAGGGGAACCAGAAACCAAGTTGCTGCCTTATTTTCCTGCCTTCATAGAATAGTTTTGGCTATTTTTCTGGGAGGTAGCAAATGGGAATTGATGAAAAGGGAAGAGAAACCATTGCTTGGGATGTGAACAGCTGGGTGTGGATCTCAGTTGAGGGATGTCGAGTCGCTAAGCTTCTACTCATTCCACGCCTCTTCAGAAACTCAGTTAACACACCAACATGTTGGAATGGGGGGGGGGGCATCTTTTTTTTTTTTTAAGCCATTCGATCGAAGGCAAAGAAAAAGATATATATCTTGATTCTTTTCTTTGAAAGGGACGACCACACTGGCGGAAGAGGAATATTGAAGGCAAACAGTACCTCAGCAACATGGGGACGCGAAGCACCTACCTGCTGCCCAGCATGGCGACCTTCGTTACTTCCAACAAACCCGACCTCCAGGTCACCATCAAAGAGGAGAGCTGTCCGGTGCCTTACAACAGCTCGTGGCCCACTTTACCAGACCTGCCCCTCCCTCCCTCCGTGACCCCAGCGCCCAGCAGCAGTCGGCCGGACCGGGAGACTCGGGCCAGCGTCATCAAGAAAACATCCGATATCACCCAGGCCCGTGTCAAGAGCTGTTAAGCCTTCGACTTCCCCTGGTGGTTGTTGGGATTTCTTGGCTTTGTTTTATTGTTTGTTTGTATTTTATTTTTTCTCTCTGACACCTGTTTTAGACAAATCTAAGGGAAAAAGCCTTGACAATAGAACACTGATTGCTGTGTCCAACTCCAGTACTGGAGCTTCTTTTTAACTCAGGACTCCAGCCCATTGGTAGACGCGTATCTCTAGAGCCTGCTGGATCTCCCAGGGCTGCTCCCTCAAGTTCAAGGACGTCATAGGACCAACACTCACACGGGCAGCGAGGTGCTGCATTGCCTGTGGTCAAGGCCAGCATGGTGGAGTGGATGCCTCAGAACGGATGAGAAAATGTGAACTAGCTGGAATTTTTTATTCTTGTGAATATGTACATAGGGCAGTACTAGCGACGTTGCAGTCTGCTTCTGCACCTTATCTTAAAGCACTTACAGATAGACCTTCTTCTTGTGATCTTGCTCTATTTCTCAGCACATTCAGCGCCCCCCACCAACCCCTTCGCGGCCCTTTGTCCCGCTTCCCGGCCCATCCCATCCAGTTCCTTTCCTCCTTTTCCTCCCCGCAAAGGCTGTGTTCCACATCCCTGAGGAGAAGAAGAAAATGAACTTCTCCACAGATGTCCCATTTTTAAGACTGCTTTAAAAAAAAAAGAAAGAAAGAAAAAAGAAAATCTAATCTGCTGTGCTTGAATGCCACGCGGTACAAAGGAAAACTTATCATGGAGATATTATACAAATTCCCAGATTTGAAGACAAAAATATTCTAATTCTAACCAGAGCAAGCTTTTTTATTTTTTATACAGGGGAATATTTTATTCAAGGTAAAATTCTAAAGAAAATATAATTGTTTTTTATCTTTTCTACAGCAAATTTATAATTTTAAGATTCCTTTTCTTGTTTATCAGCAGTTGTTATTACATCCTTGTGGCACATTTTTTTTAATTTTGTAAAGGTGAAAAAGCTTTTATGAGCTCATGTAGCAATCAAATTATCCTGTGGATTGATAATAAATGAATATGATATATAGTTAAATTTTTAATGGGCATCATGCCTGACTTTGTCTGTGTCTACTTGAGAGTACCACCATGGGACAGGGGCAGCAAAGTATCATTGCTTCTTGGGGATCAAAACTTTCTCCCATTTCAACCGCAAGAAACCCTGGAGGGGTCTTACTATGAAGATCGAATGGCCTCCTCTTTCGAGTGCTCACCCTGAGCCAGGTGCTCAGCTGCACGTGTAAATGAGCTACCTTCTTCACTTGTCAAGGTTGTGTCCCGGATAGGGATTTAGCTCCATTTCACATGGAAGAAATGGAGGCTTCAATGAAAAATGTCTTTACTCAAGGTCACATGGGTAGTAAGAGTCAAGGGCACAAGTGAAGGCCAAGTCTGGTGTGATTGTGGAGGGAGTCCAAAGCCACCACCTATCTCCTTCTCTACTGTGAGCACATTCCACCCACCTCTGTGCTTTTCCTGTTCTCGTCCATAGGCTTATATGTATGACTAAAATTTTGTATTTATGTCACATACCAGGCCCATGGGCAAGATGTTTTCAGTACTAGGAAATGCATGTTGGGCTCCTGGTCTACCTCAGTCTTCTATCCAGGACCTGGAGCCTTAGAGAAGCTGTCTTCAGTACTTAGGGCATGTCTTTTTGAATGACAGAACTCCAGACTCCTTCACCCATTTGTCATTTCAAGGTGTGTCCCTGACCTTGGAAAAGCCACTGCACTAACCTCTCATGCATCCATGATATCTATAAAATCAGAAAACCAAGACTTACCTGCCTATCTACTACCTCTGGGCGTTGTGGAGGAGATTGCTAAGTTAATATTTGAAAGGGTTCCTTCAATGAAAGGACAGCTATTTTTATGCTTTTCTCCATGTGTGGCTGCAGACATAATTAGTGGTCATAAAATTATCCAGCTCAGAACAGAAATTAACTGAAGCATTTTACTGGTTGATGTGTTGGGTTGAAATGCCACATCTTGATGGTTGACTGCTTCTGTGAGGAGCACTTTGTTGACTGTGTGTTTACTCAATTTCATGGGAAAGCCTCACTTTCTTAGTGAAAGAAGTCCTGAAGAGGAAGGAGATGCTCCCTCCCCCTAAGCACTATGCTCTTCAGTGGAGACCTACTCTTCTCCCGAGTCCTAAATAAATGAGTCCAGGTTTGTTGTGACTTCTATCTAAGTTGTTTCATTTAATCATCCTGTTTTTAAATAAATTGAAAAAATAATGACAAAAAATGGCCCTAAGTCACGTGGCCTGGCAGTCAGAGGGTTAAGGGTGGCTTCTGTCCCTGTCCCCCTTCCGTCTTCCGTCTTCCGAAAGCAGAGGAGTCAGCTCACATCCTGCCCCTTTGCGCAGCTCTGCAGGTCCCAGACGCCATCCCTGTGCTTGCGTCCTCCACCTCCGTGGCTGTAACCAGACTTACAGAACTTTACCAGCTGAAAGAAAATTCAGGATTTAGAAATGCACAATAAGACCACAGAGAACAGAATCGTGTTTAAATGATTTCTGAGAAAGGCTGTATCATTTCTAAGTGTTACTTGCCGGGAGTGTAGGAAAACGAGCTAGTTCTACAAAGCTGAGGGTTGATGTGAGGAAGAAAAACAAATGAGATGGGGCATCTCAGGCACTCAAGCCTCAGACCTAGTTGTTGTCAGTTAAAGGAAGTACTAGGGACACGTGCTTCATTTGGCCAGCATCTGTGTGAGCTGATACGCTTTTATGATGGGCTTGGGGGTGTGTGTGTGTGTGTGTGTGTGTGTAAGTAGTAAGTTCAGTGTAACAGCCTTTGGGACAATCATCTCCATTCTCTGTAGCCAGCACTCAGGTCTCTCCGCTGATAACAGGAGCGTGGTACAGCTGTGAACTGTGAATCCAGTGACAGCCACTTCCTCCCAGTCAGAAGGCTGAGAGAACCCAGCCCATCCTTGAACTGCAAAGGGCTTCCAGAACACCACTTGCAAATATCTAAATAAATCCATGCTCAACCGTAGCATTTTTTCAATGTTTTGATGAAGTAGCTGCCAAAGGAGGTGTTTAGTCTATTCAAATGTATTTATAGAGAGGAAGAAATACACATGGATAAGAAAGACACACAAATCCACTGGACATCAAAACCTCCAAACGGTATCCCTTTCTTCCTTTTTTTTTTTCTTCACATTTAAAGTATACTAAACTATCAGGTACCTACTACTGAGGTGAACATTTTAGGAATGAGGAAGATTATTAGTAATTCCGTCTCAAGGTTCTGAATTTTAAAACTTGTGCTTTTGGAAATATTTTGCTTGTGAATGAAAAAGACGTTAAGCCCCCAGTGGCCTCCTGCCCTAAGCCGGAGAGAGGGAACATTAGACATTCCATTTGCTTGAGGCCATTCTTTGAACATTGAATGCATTAGGTTTTTAAAAGCCCCTGTTATTCTAGCTGTGGACAAACAGACCCAGATAAAAGGTGCAAATAAGAACCCCGCTCTTCTGCCAGTTTCTACTGAAGAAAGACAAAAAGCATGCTAGGAAGAGATTTGCAATGAGATAGCCAAGATGAGTCCCTGGCATGCCATGCCAGATATCCAATGTCTCGGGACTAGTTTTGGTTTGGAAAGAGAACAGGAGCAGAAACCGGTATCTACCTGGTGGTGTTCGGCTACCTCATGCTAAAATTCCATCCAGTGGCATAACCAGGGCCAGGATGATCAGAGCCAGCGGGACCCGACCCTTGACCAGCCAAGGGGGCCGGGAGCCAACTCTCCATCTGTTCCCAGGCTGCGGTGGACCCCTCCCCAAAAGCATCACAGCCCGCGGGACTGTAAGCATCTCAAAGTCACAGTTGCATCCCAACATGACAAACGAGGTTGGCAGTCATCCTCAGAACCTCCTCCTCCTGCCCTGGGATCCGCCATCCCAGTATCAAAAAACAGGGCTGGAATTCTTGGCTGCGCCCCCGGGGCCGTGGCCAGCTGCTGACCCGGAGAGGAGCCCCAGGGTGTGCCAAGAAGGTGCCAAGAATTGTTCCCTCCTGAGGCTGCCTGGCCTCTGAGTCCCAACAGGCCCCTTTGGACACTGACACTGGCCCCCCTGCCACAGCTCGGGCATCCCTGCCTGTGCCATGGGGACAAATGAGGGTCTGTAGAGGTTTCCTTGTGCGGCTCCAGCAACAGGTGCAGGGGCTCCGTGTCTCTGATACTGAAAATAGTGCCAGGAAGGAAGGAAGTGGCCAGGCCTAATAGCTGGTTTTAGCAGAAATGTTAAGTCTGTCCAAGAACCTGAGTCATGCTGGGGAAGGATCAAGATGTAGGACATTTCAGGGGCGCCTGGGTGGCTCAGTCGTTGAGCGTCTGCCTTCGGCTCGGGTCATGATCCCAGGGTCCTGGGATCAAGCCCCGCATGGGGCTCCCTGCTCGGCGGGAAGCCTGCTTCTCCCTCTCCCACTCTCTCTGCTTGTGTTCCTGCTCTCGCTGCATCTCTCTCTCTCTCTCGCCGAAATAAAATCTTAAAAAAAAAAAAAAAAAGATGTAGGACATTTCAGAGTGCACACGGTCTGAAAAGCATTTTCTGGAGTCCTCTGACCAGTTTCTTGTGGAGAGACGCTGCACGTGCCCTTCTGTTGCTCTAAGCAAGCTGCTCTTTGGAGGTTTGGTCCGTTTCTCTGGATCTGCGTGATAAACGCGTTGGAACGGAGAATGCTGGCTCCGTGAGAGGTCCTGGGCCGGGACTGTATAAGTGCCTGGCAGTGAACCCCGTACACGCGTGGCTGGAGAAACACCACCATCACATGCAGCAGCCTGCGAAGCGAAGGCAGCTGATTTTAGTAACACAACTGTTTTTGCAGGTGCAATAAGTTCCAGAGTGATTGCGCCTCTCGGTTTCAGTTTTGGTTGAGAAGAACGTTCTAAAATTTAAACACCCAAACACCCATCCACATGAATCATCAGGGAAAGAAAATACCCAAGGTGTTCCATCTGCCGGGAGGTTGGGTCATAGATCTGAGAACGTTCATATTCTCCCGATTCTCTCTAATGCACCAGTTCCAAGGTGTTGACATTTTCAATCCACAAGTTATGTTTGAACTCACCATCTGAAGTTTCAGGATAACCTTAGCAGCTAAAGGGGGTGAGTTCCTTAGAGTTAGGGATGACGAAGAAATAGAAATGGCCTAGAAATAACATTGATAAATATTTTCTAGGGGCACCTGGGTGGCTCAATCAGTTAAGCCTTCCACTCTCAGTTTCGGCTCAGGTCATGATCTCAGGGTCATGGGATGATGGAGCCTCGAGTCGGGCTCCACGCTGGGCGTGGATCCTGCTTCAGGTTCTCTCTCTCCCTCTCCCTCTGCCCACCCTCCCTAAATAAATAAATAAATAAATAAATAAATAAATAAATAAATAAATAAATAAATAAATAAATAAAAAGTCTTCTCTAGAGTTCACTCTTCTGACTCCCGAAGAGATTATGGACTTGGACTTCTCTTGCCTTCCCTTTGGGATCTGGTGCTATAAATGCTGCAGCACCTCTCTGGGAAGTTGACGAATCGTAGTTTTAATGTAACTATGAACTACAGAAGAGATTTCATTTCCCAGGCTGAGCCCTGACACATTCAGGGGATAAGCAAACAGGAACCTTAGTAAAAGTGAGAAATACAGCTCAAAGCCTTTGCTCAAATGGGTTCAGGGGTTATTGGCACCACGGCTGTGATATGGGAAGGAAACCACAGGATGGTTTCACAGATTCATGTTTGCAAACTTTTATTTGCAAGGCTGATTTAAAGTAACGTAATTCCAAATGCCTTTCTTTAGCACCTCGTGAATTTAGTTAGGGTAGCCAATCATCTTGGTTTGCCCAGGGCTGAAGGAGTTCCCGCCATGTGGGACTTCAGTGCTACAACTGGGAAAGTCTCAGGTAAGCTGGGAGGAGTTAGTCACCTTAAATTTAATGTGAAGATCCAGAGAACAGATGTCATGTTGTATTCTTTTTAGATCTTCTAAACGCAGGTAGAAGCTTCATGAAGAGGCATCATTAAGGGCAT